CAGGCGCGCACGCACGCACACTGGGGGTCACCCTCAGCCACAGAGACAGCAGTGGCAGCACCAGCAGCGGGCACTCAGAGGCAGCCACGGGACAGAGCAGAGCTGCCCCAGGGGGCTGTCGAGGCTGGCAGTTTTGCACAAGCCTACAGGGATGCCACTTCTTTGTCCCCGAGGAGCAGCTGGGAGTCCCTTCCGCGCCGGCCACTCTGTGAGCAGCTGAGCGCTTAATCACCGAGCCACCAGGCTCCCCTTGTGACTGAGGCAGACCTTGCTTATGGAGGGAGGTCTTAGGTCCGGCCAGACCTTGACCCAAATGTCCTGGCTCATCGTACCAGTCAGGCCTAGGTGATAACGCTCCCAGGGAGACAAATGAGGCTTGTTAGCCCTGGAAAGAGTTACAGTCTCAGAAGCCCACAGGGGCAGGCTCTATAAGTCTCATAGGGTGGCTTAAGAGTTGGAATTGACCCGAGTGAGTATGGGTGCTGCCAATAATGACCAGCCCTCAACCCCGAATGGACAGGTGGGTAGTTCGAGTCCACCCTGAGGGGCCTCAGATTAGAAAGGCCTCGAGACTGACTGAGAGTCCCCAGGGAACACAGGCCTACACTGACACGTGCAAGGGGCACCATGGGGCACAGCTCATCGTGGCAAGACTTTAGAAAATGGAATATCTTCAAGAAAGGCGCCCTAGTGGCACAGTGGGTTAAGCGTTGGGCTGCTAGCCACAGGGTGAGTGGTTTGAATCCACCCGCCGGCGCTTCGGGAGGAAGAGGGGGCTGTCTACTTCGGTAAAGAGCTGTAGTCTCAAAAACAACAACAACAAACAAAACAAAACAAAAAGACACACAAAAAAGTGACAGTCTCAGAAACCCACTGGGGCAGTGCTACCCTGTCCTGTAGAGTCGAGATGAGTCAGAATTGACCGGATGACCGGGCTGTGTTTGGGAGAATATATATATATAAAAATCCAGTATATGTATATATATAAATCCAGTATATATATATATATATAAATCCAGTATATATATAAAAAGCCAATATATATATATAAATCCAATATATATATAAAAATCCAATATATATATATAAATCCTATATATATATAAAAATCCTATATATATAAATCCTATATATATAATAGTCCAGTAAGGGCCAACTGCTCAGAGGGCTGCAAATATCAATGGACACCATGGCTTTCCTGGGGGGAACAATGGGGCAGTCTGTCCAGATGATAAAAGCAAACAAGCGCCCACTCGTCCTTCCCATGAAGATGATTCTAACTGCTAGCGAGTCTGTGGGAGTAGAACCGGCCCTGTGGGTTTCCCAGGCTGTCCCTCTTTATGGGAGTGGAAAGTCTCATCTTACTCCCCTGGAGTGACAGACGGGTTCCAAGCACCGATCTTGCAGTTAGCGGCCAAATGCATAACCACTGCACCACCTGGGCTCATGTCAAAGTGGCCGTCCGAGAAACCCTCTGATAGGGCAGTTCTACTCGGCCCTGTAGTGTCACGACCAGTCAGCGTCGACGTTACAACAGCAGGTTTGGTTTGGGTTGAGCTCTGAATGTCACCCTCAGCAAGTGGCAGTGTTGAGACTCATATCTTGGCAGCAGGCTGGATGTAGGCCTGATTGCTTCCCACACTGTTGTGGGTGGTGGTGGTCATGGTAAGGGCACCAACACCCCAGAATGGTTTCTACAGAGGAAGCCTGGTGGCGTAGTGGTTACCCATTGGGCTGCTAACTACAAGGTCAGCAGTTCAAAACCAACAGGAGAAAAATGGGGCTTTCTACTCCCATCAAGAGGGGAGAGGAGGAGGTGGGGGAAAGGAGTGGGGAGCCAACAAACCCAGAGACAAGGGAACAGGAGAGATCTAAAAATTGATGACCAGGAGGGCATAGAATGCCTGGTGGGATTCAATCGAGTGCAATGTAGCCAAGAGGAAGTACAGAGAGCCAAATGAAGGTCTAACATGATAGTGGGACAGGAGGAAAGTAAAAGGAAGGAAAGGAGGCAAAAACAAACAAACTAGGGGGCAAAAGACATTTATAGAGGTTTAAACATAGGCATGTACATATGTAAATATATTAATATATAATGATAGGGATATTATGGGCCTATGTACACACCTTTATAGGTTAAGTATTAAGGTAGCAGATGGACATTGGGCCTCTAGCTCTAGTCCTTCCTCAATGCAAGAACACTTTATTCTAATAACATCGCATTCTGTGATGCTCACCTTCTGGACACAATAGATGAAGACAAAATGGGCGCATAAGCTAATGTGGTGAAGAAAGCTGATGGTGCCAGGCTATTACAAGATAGAGCATCTGGGGTCTTAAAGGCTTGAAGTTAAACAAGCGGTCACCTAGCAGGGAAGCAACAAAGCCCACATGGAAGAAGCACACCAACCCGTGTAGTCACAAGGTGTTGACGGGATCAGGTATCAGAAGAGCCAAATCAATCATTTCAATATGAACGAGGGGGGTTGGAATGGCGACCCAAAGCCCATCTGTAGACAATTGGACGTCCCCTCACAGAAGGGTCACCAGGAAGGGACAAGCCAGCCAGGGTGCACTATAGCATGGATGAAACACAACATTTCTCTAGTTCTTTAATGCTTCCTCCGCGCCCCCCCCCCCCCCCCCCCCCCGGCCCCCACTAACATGACTCTAGTCCTACTCTACAAATCTGGCTAGACCAGAACATGTACACTGGTACAGATAAGAGCTCTTGACACACGAATCCAGGACAGATTAAACCCCTCAGGACCAATAATGAGAGTAGCGATACCATGAGGGTAGGGGGAAGGTGGGGAAGAAAGGGGGAACCAATTGCAATGATCAACGTACAACCCCCACCCCAGCGGGACAAACAACAGCAACGTGGGTGAAGGGGGACAGCAGATAGTGTAAAATATGAAAATAAAAATAATTTATAAATTATCAAGGGTTCATAAGGGTGGGAAGGTGGGGGGAGGTGGGGAAAGAGGAGCCGATACCAAGGGCTCAAGTAGAAAGAGAATGTTTTGGAAATGATCGTGGCAACATATGTACAAATGTGCTCGATACAATTGATGTATGGATTGTGATAAGAGCTGTAAGAGCAAAAAAAAAAAAAAAACCAAACCTGTAAGAGCCCCCAATGAAATGATTTATTGTAAAAAAAGTTGCAGTCTTAGAAACCCACGAGGGCAGTTCTACCCTGTCCTCTAGGGTCGCTGTGAGTTGGAATGGACTCGATATCAGTGAGTTTTTATTCTGGTTTACAGGCTGACCTCTGAGATAGCGAGGGCTGGGTTCCAGAGACCTCCATCATAAAGCCAAGGTCACCAGTAAGAGAGTCCCATGATTTTGTTCCCCAGGGCACATCAAACTTACGTTTCCACTCTACTGGTGGTGCTGTGGGTTAGGTATTGGACCTTGAAACACAGAAGGTTCAAACCTACCCATCACTCCTGGGGAGAAAGACGAGGCTGTCTCCTCCTGTAAAGATTTACAGCTTAGAGTCCCTACAGAGATTTACTATGAGTTGGAATCTATTCAGTGGCAGGTTGTTTTTTTTGTGTGTGTGTGTGTGTGTCTATTAAGTGTGCAATATTGACAGTCATCGAGTTGATGCTGACTCATAGAGACCCTATAAGACAGAGAACTGCCTCCTGGGGTTGTAACTCAATGTGGGAGTAAAAGACCTCATCTTTCTTCCGAGGAGAGGCTGGTGGTTTTGAACTGCTGACCTTACAGTTAGCTGCTGACCTTGTCATCCACGATGCCACCAGCAGGCCTCCTATGCCATAATCATAGCAGGATGGGAAGGTCTGAAAGGCGGTGGAGATGACCCATGTGTAGGCCTGAAGTGAGCATATGTTGTTGGGAAAATGGCTCAACACAGAGTTGACACAAAATCGTAGCCCCACGCAAATGGATGGGGATGAGGCCTGACCCAGGCTTCGGTTCTAGACGCTCAGGCCTCTAGATCAAGGTTCTAGAAAAGATCCTGGTTCTGGGCTCTGGTGTCCCACAGGGACTGTGGTTCCAGCAGTCTGGTAAATTGGCACTTCTGAACTTGAATCTTGGATTCTAGACCTGAAGCTACAGTTGAGCTTTCAGAAGCTGAGCCGGCAGGTGCAGTGTCAAGGCTGAGTTTGGGTGCCGTGGTCAGGAGCTGGGTTGTAGTGGCAAGTTCTTGGGTCACTTTTGGGGTGACTGTTTAGAGCTGCCATGGTGGTTGGCATTCTAGACAGGCATGTAGGAAGGTGAGGACCCTGAGCTGGGCTGAAGATGGTGGCAACGATCCCAGAGCTCTTTGGGAAGGAACGTTCTGGAAATGAAGGTTGGGTTCAGAACGTTGAGTTGAAAAATACCGGTTGTCCTAGAATTGGGTGTTTGGGTCCAGGCTGTGGGGCTGAGTTAAGAGGATAAAAGGGAAGGTGCTAGGTTTAGGGTTGTTGAAGAGAGGGAGTGGGTCGTAGCGTGAAGTTCCTGCTTGGGGTGAGGATCCCCAGGGCTAGTGCTGGGATGGAATTTTGCTTCAGAATGCTTCTGGGACTGGATTGGGGAAGGAATAAGTGGTCCAAGGCAGAATTTGGGGTCAAAGATTTCTGCATGGGGAGGTGGGGAGAGTGTCTGGATTGAGTTTGGGATGAGGGTTCTGAAAGGGCAGTGGTGAAGAGGTTCCAGATCTGTACCCGGGGTGGGGTGACTTGGGACAGGATCAAGGGTGGACACTTTTGATCATGATTGGCAGGGCGATCGTGAGGTGGCCTTAGGGATGACTGTGGAGTGGAAATTCAAGATTTGCTCTGGAGGCTGAGTTCAATAGGCAGGGGGCTTCTAGCATGGAGCCGGAGGGGAAGAAGGCTGACTGAGGTGGAGGGGGAGATGGACAGGCAGTCACAGCAGGAGCTGAGGCTGGGTGAAGAGGGAGTTTCCAGCGCTGGGTTTGGGAGGTGAGGGTTCTGGAATCAACTGGAGTGTGAGGACTTGGAAAGTGGTTGGTTGGAGGTGAGGAGCCCCGGTGGTCTAGTGGTTATGGGCCAGGCTGCTAACTGCAGGGTCTTCAGTTCGAATCCACCGGCCACTCAGCAAGAGACAGAAAAGGCAGTCAGGCCCTTAAAGAGTTACAGTCTCAGAGATGCACAGGGGGTAGTTCTACCCTGTCCTAGAGGGTTATGGGGTCAGAATGGGCTCGATGGTAGTGAATTTGGGTTTTGTTGTTGTTGTTAGAAGTGAGGGAGATCCAGAGAAAAGCTGACATAGGGAAGGGGGTTAGTGTAAATGAGGGGGCTGGTGTAGGGGAGGAGATCTGGAATGGGGGCCGGGGGCTGGTGTGGGAGGGGGCTGGAGAGGGCTGATGGAGAGGAGGAGGGAAGGGTTGGACCAAGGGACCCCTCCAGCTACCCCTGGAGTGGCAGGTTCTGGAGTTACAGCTGATGCTATCCCCCAGCCCCCCGGGTGGGGTCCATAGCTGAGGACCCCCTACACCCCTACCCCACCCTCCTGTCCCCAGGCAGAAGCACGTGGCAGCCCTCCTGGACATCCGGGGCCTTCGCAATGCCGCTGCCCGCCACGAGATCCTGGCCGTGGCCCGGGACCTGGAACTGTCGGAGGGGGGTGCCCTGGCCACCCCCCGGGACCGCGCCTTTTTCTCAGACATCCCAGTGTCCCGGCCGCCCTTCTGCCTGGGCCTTCAGCTGCTCCTGGACCG